GCAGCAGGGAGTGTCAGCCATGGGGTGGGGGAGGGGCTGCTTTTCTCTGTGCTCCGCACCACTTTGTTCCTTGCCCTCCCCGCCCCCCTTTACCTGAGTTTCCTGTGCTGAGTCAGCCATGTGGTCCTAGGCCAGAAGCCCCTGCTGGGGCTCCCGGCTGGGGGGTGGGGCCAGGAGGGCTCTGCTGTTGCAGGAGCCTGCCGAGGATTCCCCTGGGTCCTACTCCCCCTGGTTCCTGTCATTTTGACAGAAACCAAGGACAGATAAATTTTAATTTTCAAAATTTTTTTAGGGGCCCTGTGGGCTAGATAGAATGGCCTCATGGGCTGGATCCAGCTCATGGGATTTATTTTGCCCACCCCTGGGCTATGACATAGCCTCTTTAGTGTTGTCAACTTTGTGAATTTGTCACTAGATTCAGTGACTTTGGGGATTCCTAGCGAGAAAAACCCAACAAATTAAGGCCTCTGTACCAGCTTATTATATCTAATATTTGAAAAAAAAGAAGGAAGGCAGATACCACTAAGAAGTCCTGTCTCAGGGGGACTGAACCACAAGTTTGCTCCCAGAGAGGGGAAAGGCTCCTTGAGTTTACCAAAAGGATGAGTTCAAGAGGGATTAAAAGTAAAATTTTCCCTGAAACTGTAGCACTGGCTAAAGAAGAATGTACAGCCTAGAACAAGTCTTGTGGGGATGGAGGCAAAGGGCAAATAATAAGCAGAATAAAAGAAATCAGTGAGTGTAAAAGGAGGAAGCAAGTAAAATGGAAACATTAGCGGATACATTAGAGCTACATGAACCTAGAAACACACAATTCAGGTAGCTAAGAATTGATTTTATGATGCAAATAAGGTCATGACAACTTTTGGCTGCTGAGCATCTCAGAAAAACTGTACTATCCACACGTCTATCCAGACACAAGAGGAACCCACATAGAGTTTGAATGAAAGGTTTATAAAAAGTTTTATTTGCATTAAAGATAAAACCTTAGGAGATGGTCAATTGGTTTGTTCCCATAATAGGACCTTGGCTTGAAAAATCATTCTCCAACCTATTATGTTTCAATCTTAACATGATTTGCCAGTTTGCTTGATCAATTAATCAACCTATTAAAGTTTTTGATCTAAGTTTTGGATTTTCCTAAAAGAGTTGGAAAGTTAAGCTGAACTCCAACCAATGTGCAATTGGCAAGTTTTACACAGCACCTGGCAAAACTTTGCTATCTTGAGACAAACAGAACAATTCTGATTAGTCAACAACAAACTCTGAAAAATCAGGTATGCTTTTTCCCTTTCCAATATACCAGTACACATCCATGCGGAGTATGACATAGTTTGCGAGCATACATTATCCAAGCTCAAAGCTTTTGAATACAAAATGTAATGAAGATTCATTAAAGATATTAAAATAACATAATGAGAGTTTTCAAAAGGGAAGAAATACTATTTAAATTTAGCAGTGTAATAGACAAAGCAAGGGTCCAATCCTCTAACTGAGTCTGCTGAGATAGAAGCCAGGCAGAGCACCAACTTTCATGGCACTTTGCATTAAGTCACAGGTCTGTCTCTGCACAGATCCACTTAATGAGGAAGGTCTAAATACAGACCCTTTATAAACAGCTAAGTGCCTGCTTTTAGCATCAGGTCAGTGAGAATAAAGGTCTGCAGATGCAGAGAAGAAAAT